TGTGTTTTTCGTATTTGTTGTTGTGTATAAATGAGTGTGTGCCTGTGTGAATGCTTGGGATGAATGAGTGTGGCTTTATTTTTCATAAGTCCCGCATCGATTTCGTCCGGTTAACTGATATTTCTGCCACATTCAATAGTTTGTGGGGGTTTTATTACTAACACTAATTTTATTTGGTTTCTTGTAAATATTATTTTGTCATTTTGTATATATTTCATTGGGGATCTTTTTAGAAGTTGTTGTTTTTTATGCCCCTCCCCCCACAGACAATATTTGTACATAAGGGGATTATTTAGGTTTTTTCATGGAGTCAAAGAGGCATTTTGGTGTATGTAGTAAGAAAGGTATGGATAAATGTGTTGTTTTGGTGAAAGGAATATTGTTCAGTATGATAGGGTCAGTGGATGTGGCTAGCTAAGTTTTAATCTAAGACAAGTGATGACCGTCCTTTACCCCAACCCCTTTTCGGCCTTGTGCCACATTTGTACCTTAGTACAATAAATAAATAGTCGTTCAACACTGGTTAAACTCTCTTCCTACGGGCGGGAGTAACCCGAAGGAGACCTGTCGGAGGTCGGCCCAGAACCTGTTTATACGGGTTCAAATGGGCTATTTTGTCATGGCTCGGGAATGCCCACGTTAAAAAGGCCTTGTGCCACATGACACCCTCGGGGGGGGGTGACTGAATATTGTCAACAGGTGGCCAGCGAACAGACCTGACGGTCAGGCCGAGCGATCAGCAGCAGGGGAGCGTCAACCACCGTCAACATGTGTGTACTATGAGAGATCGAATCCATGTGTGAACTACAAGGTATGTCCCAAAGAGAAATCACGTAAATCCTAGATCCATACGCTTGTCTGTAAAAGACAACCTTAACAAAGAGAATATGAATCATTTACCAAGCAACACCGTAGACTGTCCCAAACCCTAAGACACGTTCCTGTTAAAATAAAACTGGAAGTTATTCTATCCCAAATCTCTTTTCAACTTGATCACATTCCTGGTGAAGTGTTGAGGTATAGACCCCTGCTTCAACCAGTTGTTAAAAATCAATGCCAACAAAAACAGTCAACTGCCTCAAGTACATTTCATAGGGTAGACCATCTAATCCTGGAGATTTGCCCCCGCCAACCTTTGCTTTGAACAGCCGAAAATGCGGAATATTTTTTTTTTGTGACTAAATTTTTACACGTTACTTTGTTTTGTAAAAATCAAAGTGACCAATCTTTATCAATATTCTTGATACACTCAACCAGGAAGATGTTAATTAATTAATTTCTTCTATGTCTATATTTCTGAGATGAGGTATTATGTACATTATTTACATTATTTACATTATTCGGACTATCGTCCTCATTTTTGTTGCCATATTTATCACAACGTTTCGGCCGTTGTACTCTCCGGCCTTCTTCAGGTGGTTGGAATGTCGAACTGAACCCTTTATTTCGCTCACTGGGGTAGTCTGTTCTAGTTCCACGTGCCATGTTTGAGGGAAATTAGCAGGAGAACTGATAACTGACATGTAATTTCTTCTCTGACATGCGGGAACGAATCCCTTCAAAAATTATAAAGTAAGTACAAAAAAATCGAAAAAAAGATTGTGTGGTAAAAGAACTTTCAAATTATTGAAGGTCTACTGTTTTGTCGTATAAAAATAAAATAAATGCTCCATATACTTTTCAAGTGTTGTTTTTTAAAAGGTCTATCATTGTGGAAGTCTGTTAGTGTTACTGTTAGTTTAACGGGTTAATTTTTTTTTCTTTAAGTAAGAAAAATTTATAGACATGCGTAAAGTAAAAAGTGGAATTGAATTGAAAACCGAGAATTGGGGTGGGTAATAAAGTAGGGATTGTTCACCTAGTCAGTTTTTTTTTTTAGGCTTTTAGTCATAGAATTCATGACTTGCATTTAAAGTTTATTAAACTTTCGAATAAATTGTCAAAAATAACTACCATGTTTATTAACAAATTGATAAAATACAAAAACAAAAGAAATCGTCGCATAAACTATATTTGTGTCTTTGGGCAACACATTTTTGAGAGAAAATGGTAGTATAACTATCCAGAAATTAGTTTATGATGTGGCATTTAAAAAACCAAAAAATGAAACCCCTCATGTTTTAAAAATACGGCAATTCTTTTCTGGTACGCCAGTCAACTGTTATTGGGATTTTGCAAATAAATTTCTTCTAAACAAGGAAAATCAATGAGTTATTTTTTCCCCTAAATAAATTTATGATGTTTTTATCTAGCGAATACACCTCTAAAATAATTAAAAGCTTTTAATTTCATTTTTAGAATGTGTAGATTTCCAAATCTGCGAGTATTATCTGTTCTATTTTAAACACATTTTAAAAATGAAATTAAAAACTATTTTAATGATTTTAAGTCAAAGGTGTATTCGCCAGATAAAACCATAAAAAGATATTTGTAAAAATAAAATGAATTAATTTTCCTTGTTTAGAAGAATTTTATAGGCAGAACAGTGAACACCCACTGAACATTAGTGGCTAAAAAAAAAAAGAATATTTTTTACTTTGGGTTTAAAAAAAAATGACTTGCAGTTTTGAAAATATACTCATTTAAAACTTACTTTATTTTTTTAAATATCTATTTTGGTTGTATTCACGAGATAAGCATAATTTTATTTGCAAAAAAGAAACAATTTTATTTTTACACTAGAGACTCACATATCTGGAAATATACACATTTTAAAAGTGAAATTAAGAACTATTTTAAATTATTCTTAAATTTAGGTGCATTCCCTAGATAAAAAATAAATTTATTTATAAAAAAAGATCTTCATTCATTTTTCTTGTTTACAACCATTTTTATTTTGTGATTGGCGTACTAAAAATCCTTACAAGAAATGACTACATAAAAAATTTAACATTAAGACGAAACTGGCAGCTATTTTTTTGTTAACTTAATTTTATCACAAAAAGTTTTTTTTTGAAAGCTGAAATAGATTTCACTTTCAGGTATCATGTCGTATTTCCTTTTTTTCTTCTTCATTTCTTTTGTAAATAAATAGATTTCACATTTATTTCCTAAAAATAGTCAATTAAATGTTTTTAACATATTTTTGTTCAATAATTTTCTCTTACAATGGTGTAAATGTTGAAGATGAAACCAAAAAAAGTCGGTTTCTCTGTTAAACCGCCCATCTCTAGTAGTCACCGTCCAATTATCTGGCAATGTGATGCATGCGATATGTCACTGAAATGCATTCCGAACTTCCTCTGCACGCAAATCAACAGCCATAATTGTTGCCTCCAAGGACATTCTTTTTAACTTAGCCCTAACTACCAGAGCTAGCCCCCATCAGCTCCTGATGTAGCATTTAGTAGCAGCTGGTCCCAGAAATCTTGCTCAGCAAAGAAGGATGAGTTCAATTTCCAGTAGCCAGCCATCCTAACCTTAGGCTTATCTAAGTTTACACAGACTCGGATGAGCCTATAATTTGAATAAACTATATAGTGAAAACTTGACCACCCTTGACAACTCTCCTGACTAAAATTTGGTTGAGGTAGCTAGAATGTACCTCTGTAGCCAAGCTACCCCTATTAGTCCAAGTCCATACTATATCTCGATGGTATTCATTACGGTACTTATCAACAAGATCAAACTTATCAATAAAGTCCTGAAATAGCTTCACATCCCAGTTATTAGTACCCAAATTTCACCCTATATGATCTATATCGGGGTCAAGGACGGCATTCCAATAACCCGCTAAAACTACCTGATGAGATGTCATAAAAAGCGGCTCAATCCTCTGAAACAAACCAGGTCACTCAGAATGAATCATTGGGCAAATAAACTGCAATGAGACAAAGAGCCTTATCCTTTATGGTAACATCCAGCATGCAAAGCCTGCCCACCAGATCTGTGAAGACTAGAGCACACACAGCCTTCAAAGACTTGCTCTCCAGCCAAGATACACTTCTCAAGTATCCATCAAAATATGTTGAATAGAGGATGAACCCCGTAGACAGAATGCCCTTATAATCATGAGTTGAAAAACGGGTCTCCTGCATACAACATATATTCACCCCAAGATGCTGAAGTTTATGAGAAAGCCTCACCCTGCAAAACTCTAACCTCAGGCCCCAGGCATTTATGTTAGCTAACTAGAGTGCCATTATCAAACCACTTAGGGTTGCTCTTCTGCATTGAACATGATCGGGGTGAAGACACCGACAACCTGTCCCATTGATCCTGTGCCCATCTCAGTCTTGATAGTGCCATCAAGAGGCAGGCCACCAATGTTCCAGGGGAAAGTTAATTTTAATGCTCTATACAAGAAGGGGTGAACAAAAACTGGGATCCTCCCTGAACAAAATTGATTTAATTTTTGCACATTGTTTTGCATTGTTAAAAAAGGCCAACAGAGGAAAAGATTCAAAGCATCGTTGGCCTCCTCTATCATTTGCCAAATTTGTTGACTCCCCCGAACCCCCCCCACCACCAGTACCAGATCTAACAACCGTCAAGTGTCTTTTAGCATTCAGAAAATTTGATGGGTTTTCCATGTCCAGATCATTGATTTTTTTTTAGGTTCATTAGTGTTTTTAAGGCCTTGATTTTCTGGGATTGTATCACAGCTTTATCATCTTGGTGTTGTAATACCCAGCAGACATCTTCTCCAGTATTGTAGATTTTTTCTTTGATGAAGATTCAGCTGAATCCATGGATGGACTTCTTTGGTGTTTGGGTTTATCAGATTTCTTTTGATGTGTGCTGATGTGAGTAATGGCAGGGGATGGATTAGGGGTATTGGCAAGGGTAGATTTTTTGCTGGCTGAGGATTTTGGGATGGGAGCCTTCTTGAGGGTGGTCATTTTAGAATGAGTTGGGGTTAATGATTTAAGCATGGGTGGTTGAGCCGTATTATATTGTTTGTTTTATTTTTTTCAGTTATGTATTTGTTTACCAATATTAGTATTTCAACTTCAAAAATTGTTCTAGTTATGATATATTGACCTACTGTTTTGTAACAGAGCAGTGATGGGTGAAGACCATATGTCAGAAGAGGCAGAAGAAAAAGAGGAGCCCAGCAAAAGCATCCAGCAAATAGAATTCAGTCGCCAACGATTGAAAAAGCTTGAGTCTGATGGCACTCAACTAGTGACCAACATCCGTGTTGCTGGAGATGCTCGTGAGAGTCAGCGCCGGGCAGAATATGAGGAAAGTGCACGTATTAGGTAAAAACAAGGTTTATCTTGTTTTAATTAATATTTTGTTTGATTATTTTTCCCCAGTATAAACCTACACTTCACCTCCTTCATTAATTTCATTTGATTTCAATTACAAACGGTATTTTCTTTTCTTTTTTTTTATCTAGCCATCCCATTTAAAAATTAATTAGTATAAACTGAAAAGTTTTCACATCATACAAAAACAAATTTAAGAAAGTAATATCCAAATTAAATTTCAAGCTTCAATTGATTACATTTGATTAGATATTTTGAAATATTTTATTCTTTGACTTTTGTGGTTTTTGTAATGCTGTCCGGAGTGGTTATTGAAATAATAACTAGAACAGCAACTTACAACAGATATGGGTTTATTTTCAACAAGAACAATACAAGTAGATATTTACAAGTTCATCTGAAACTGGAAAGCAACCTCCCTGATACCAACACCATAGATGATTATATTACTACTGGAACAGTCCATTTAATAGAAGGGATGTATCAGTTCTTTATATACTGAGGGTTATCAGTTCATTCACTACAACAGTGGTCAATAAAAGTTCTTGACTATAAAGGTGCATGCACATATGATAGACATTACAAGACAATTTGGAATTATTCTATATAAGTATATAGAAAAGGAATTTTATTTAAATAATTACTTAAGTGGAGATTATTAGATTTGGTTTGGTTTGGTTTATTTTGTTTTACAGCATATCAATCTCAATGGGTTATTTAATGCCAAAAAGATTTTTATTGCTGGTAATTTTTTTTTTTTTCCAAAAATGTATTTCTGGTAATAATGTATTGCTGGTAATAATTTTTTCCAAAAATGTATTGCTGGTATTAAAACTTATTTTTACACTTTCATAGTGTTTTGACCCTAGTTTTAGGGTTAACTATCTGCCCATAACTGGCACCCTAACAGATGCTACCACCCTGAGTCAGGAAGACCTGGGAACACCAGCAATTGAGAAGTGGTTCCACACTCCTCAAAACCTCTTGATCAGAGGCCTTGCTGCTAGATGCAGTTTATCTTCATACCCAGGATACCTCATTGGCATTGGGTCTTACCACTCTGCAGAAGTGCCGTTGGTGTATTCTGAAGCCCCAGCCAACAGGGCAAGATTATTAGAAAAGCACATTTTGACAGGAGTTATTCAAGAAGTTTAAAGTTTATATTAAGCATTTAAGAAATGTAAAATACATATCAGATCTTTATATTTGTTGGATTACTTTAGTTTGTTATAAATATATTTTTCACATATTGAATTTGCTATTGTTTTATCAGAAAAGAAAAGATGGAGCAAGAAGCTAAGACTTCTGCAGAGAGACTGGAAGAGGTAAGGCTTGAATTTAATAATTACGAATTAAATCAATACTGTGAAAATTTCCCAGGTACTTGCAAAAAATCATTTACTATAAAAGGGTGTTTTGAAAAAGCTTTAATTCATAAAATACAAATTGGATCTATGTGTGTATCATAATGGTTATCAGTATAGAAAGTGTAATCAGCATGCTGAGTTCAAATCAAAACCTGACTGAGTCTGTTTCATTCACTTTACACTGATACCCTTGACAAATCATGAACACATCTTCCTCCACCTATGGATTAAATTTAGAAGTTAGCTTTAATGTTATCAGTCTGCTAACATGGTTAACAAGGACATTTAAAATTCCCAATAGCTCTATATTGGCAGAAATCATCTTTGAAATTATCATCTGTGTTACAAATGAAAGAACTTTTCATCTTTTTTTGAATGTCTACAGGGAAAATATACTTTCATTAATAAAGGAAAAAATTATTTTTTTTACTTAGTTCTTTTTTATTTGTCTCTGAAAAAAACAACTACAAGAACATTTTAAGTTGTTGTCCTGTTTGTATTCCAGTACTGCATGTTTAATGTTTTGGGAAAGATCATGTCTTGAAAATTTCCCAGATAGGAGACTTTGATGTGATTTCCTTTCGGAAAACGAGTTTGCAGCTTCTATTACATCAATTGAATCAGTGTCTTTATGTACATGCATTTACCATTAAACCGCCAAATTGATTTCACCCATAGTTGATCATAAACATGTTTTAACTCTTTTAAGCACTGAAAAAATCTTTTACTTTCACTGTTTATAGCAGGCACTAAGAGAATGAGCTTTATGAGCTTTAAGATTTTGCTAATAAAATTTCTTTGTGCTTCACTTAGGGATCTCACTTTTTCAAATATTGTGGGAAGATTTGCATTTGCTCTATCAATCTTCAATAAATCTGGTAAAAGTTTGAGCTGGATATTCAGCAGGGACATGTCAATATCGCCTTCATACATTGAAACAAGAGAACTGTTTTCAATTAATTTTTTTATATATCTGGTTGTTTGGATCTTCTTCAACATTTCAAAAGAACATTTTGCATTGTTCCATAATCTACAAAGTCAGATTTGTCAAACTTGTCAGTAATAAATGTTGTGACAAAATTGTATGCATCAAAGAACTTTGTTCTGCACATTTCTTTTGTGGAGGGAAAGTTCTGCTCATTTGCTTATACATGGCCAAAGAAATCAGTCAGACATTTTGGATGTTTCTGTTTTCTTAGAAGACTGGAAGAAGTTGTTTTGTTTTTGTTTCTAAAAAATTTTAATTTAGCACCATTTCTAGTCTACATTTATTTAACAGTAATTCTCTTTAGTCTTTATAAAAAATCTTCCAAAAATAAAATGTACTTTTCTGAAACTTTATTTGAAGAATATTAGCTAATTTAAAGTATAATTAATCTGATTTGAAACAACTATTACTTCAAGTGTAAAATATTGTAGAAATGCAACAGTAGCTGTTTATTTAAGGAGTTAGCATTCTGACAGGTTGATGAAAGATCTAATATTTTCTATGGAGACCATATGTGAAAAACTTAATTGAAAAAATGGCAAGTGTCTTCTTTTACATAATATTTAAGTATTCAGTAATCTTAAAAATTAAGGAAATTATTCTCTGTAACCTAATATTTATCAATATTAATAAATTTTGGCCTTAAATTTACTACATTTATTGATTTTATTTCTTGATAATGTCATGTATGATCTACCGTATTCATAAATATGGCTATTTTATATACATGAAGAAAAAATTCCAAATTCTTTTTTAAAAAGCTGGAATTGATGGTGTACTAAGCTTTACAAATTATGATTAGTGAATATAATTTCTCTATGATTTTAACCCCCTGCCCCAATTTTTCTTTAATTTACTAATTACTTAGCTGTCTTTTAGATTAAAAAAACATGTAAATCTTAAATTTTAAAGATAAATGATTAAAAGAACTAAATTTCATTAAAAATAATTTCCCAACATCATATTTGCTTTAATTAGGAAATTAAAAATTGAAAAATAAAATATCACTATCCTTCAAGATTTCTTACATTTTTTTGGATAATTTTTGTGGTTCTAATGAAAATAAAAATTACATTTTTAATTTTCTTTTTTATATAGATTTTAAAATATTTTTAGATGATTTTCATATAATTGATTTAAACTTTAAATTCTTGTTTTATTATTTCTATTTCGATTGACATTAAAAAAGATGTTATTAAAATTTTCACATTATTTTATAAATAAATATACTAAAAATATTAAAACCTGGTAGAATTGAAGAGAAGTGTCATGACTTTGAAGAAAATGAAATTGGACATTAGTTCAAAGCAAACAAAAACATCAGGAAAATAAAAAAATACTTACAATTACTTGTGTATCATTATTATTGGTCCTTGTGGGAATTCATTGTATTTTCGATTGCTTCTTTTTTAATTTATCTTGATTAATCATTTTGCTACTTTTGGCTATTTCAACTGGTAATATGAGTCAATATTCTGTAGGATATTGCTGAATTGGGTTGCATTGGTTATCAGAAAACTTTGAAAATAGAAACGAACAGACTGAAGTCAAGTGTATAAACAAATAAAGTATATTTATTTGACATATAGGTGGCGAGTTCTTTATATTTTGGGGTAATGAAAATCAGTTCATGAGTCAGGCTGTTAGTAGCCAAGAGTGATCAATTTCAGAAGTGGGATTGTAGGGTCACTGTAGAGCTGTTATCTGTCAAAACTGGGATTGGTCCTAACAAGGACAGAAAATGTGTGAAGTCAATGACAGCTTAATGCAACACGCTTGGCTGGTTTTATGGTAGTGTTCTTTCATCATAGTTTTGAATCCTTAGTTAGTTCTGTCTTGAGCACTTTCTGTTTCAAGTCCCTCTCACTGTTTGCCTCTAGGTGTCAGTTTATATCCCTTTTGATGAGGCTCCAAAAACATGCAAATCTCTTTTTGTTAAATTATTTGATTGGCTGAAATTCTTTTTTTGGACACCTTTCTTATTTTATTATAGCAGAAGTTATGTGTGGATCCTACTTTGTTTTTTGTGGGGTTTTGCCACAAATTATTTATTTGCTGAACTGTCAATATTCAGTGTTTTTCAGTCTGAATTAGTTTTTTTGTCTTTTTACTCTGTGACGAATGCAAGCCTACATATAACACCCATCCCCTTCCCACACCATGACCTAAATCACACATGCATAGGCGAAAGCTAAAAATAAATCCAGCAGCAGCAGCACGCGAACAGCAGCAATGCGATTGGTTCAGAGCAGCCAATCAGCAAGCAGGAAATTAGACGCCAAAAGTGAAGAGACGCATGTGGTGACTCTAGAAAATTAGTAGCAGGCCAGCCATTGACGAGTGAAGTCACATCAACTGCAAGCTCTGAATAATAAGCTGAGACCGCACGTTCCCTGAGGCAGAGAAACAAATCAGATTGTTCCAGTGCCGAGAATGTAAAAGGGTCTAACGCAGTAGGCCTTCGCAACTCAAATATCATCATCTCAAGGAGGAATCCTGAATTCAAACCCCGAGGCAGAAGGCATGATCCAGATTGAGATCTAACCTCCAATCATCAGAAAGAAATACAAATAAAAAAAGAACGGTTATCGAAATTGTCCACTAAAGCACAAAATATCAGATAAGTTCCTAAACCCCATCCCCGATATTATAATAGCTTGCAACAGTACAATAACATTATGTTCGTGCAAACACCATTACATATGTAATATCAGATTATTAATATTATCCCATTACATATGTTGAGTACTGCATTCGTTATCGCTCATTTTCTCCCAACTTTGATTGGACGCAATATTTCATGCTATCCATTTATGTTATTGTCATTTGTCCCATTTTCATGTTATTCAAAGTGTTATATTTGTTAACATTGATTGTTTCATTTGTCTTTGGTCTACGGTCAGTCGAATGTGTCATTTAGGGGATCCGGGAAAATTAAATTCAATTAAATCCTAATTGAATTAATATTTATTTTTTTTATTTTATCTATTCCGCCGATGAAGCAACCCTAACCCTTATTCAAGAATCCTTTAACTGAATGTTAATTGAGAAATAAAAAGGAATATCATCGTACGGAATATATTGATCCTAAACTGGCGTTATCCACCTATACGATAATAATGTTTCGGGGTGGATCTATGATACCTTCTTTTATTTAAGAGAGAAATATATAGAGAGAAAAATAGAAAAAGAGATAGTGATTTTAAGGGAAAGCAAATGCTTCATTTTAATTTGAATTCTTTTCTATTTGTTTGTACATATTTATTTTTATATTTTATTTTATTTTATTGGACTCACCACAATTCCAAATTAAAATGAAAACACACCCACATAATAAAGAGAAGTTACTATCATTGTACACCTTTAAAGAAGAATTCTTTCATCAGGGTTTTATGAAAGTTATATTCTTCCTTGCGTTGATGGTTTTTTTTCTTTCTTGTATTTCTTTCTTTATTGTATTTTGTTAAAATAAAACCCTGTAAAAAATACTACAATTGGCAAAAATTTATTGGAATAAATTTAAACATTAACAGTCATAAGAACCATGGAAGGCCTTTTAAAAAGGTTTCATTTAACAATATTTAATGCTTGCTCATACTGTCAGTTTTAAGTATTCAATGTTTGTTCATATTCTTTAGATATGACTTCGAATCTAAAGTGAAGTAATTGCAAAAAACACCTTTTAGTTCATTAGAGAACAAAATAGATTTATATTAGGTAATAGAAAAATAGTAAAAATTAATCATGAGATAATACAAATTTAATGCCATCATGATGACATACAGTGACATGCAGAAGTTTGGTGATGTTTAGGGATGATTGGATGCCCAGGGCCTTCACACCCTCTGTGCCCACCTTTTGAACTCTACTGATGACATATACTTATGAAACTAATAAAATTTGCTTTTATTTTTTACAGATAAACAAAAAATGGGATATTGCTTTGCAAAAAGATATTCCTCAATCTCTGCATGAAGTAAGTGACAATCTTCAGTTTATTTATATCCCTATTTAACAGATATGATTAGCCTTATATGTATGTGTATGTGTGTTTTCTATGACGTTATTTGCATCTAATGAGGCCTGCCTTTGAAAAGCAAACACAATCATATTTGTCACACAAAAGATTCCCTTATTTCCTTTTTGGGGCAAGAAATAACATCTTCCATATATTTACCAACATGTTTCATTTTAGCATATGCAAATCAATAGTTTTTTAAATTCTACAGCACCTATCTGATGCAAGATATTCCCATGTGTTAGTAGCAATGTTGAACTTTTTAGTGTGTCTTAGATAACCCTTATACCACTTTCATGGCATGCAGCAGTGGTATTTGCCTTGCACTAGTTCGCCATACAAGACTTGTTTTGGCATACAGGTATCCTCTAAGCAGACCAAGTGACCAAACCATCTAAGTCAATGTTTCATAATTATGGACCAGATACTCATCATATTGGCCAGCAGGCATATTAGTTTGCCATTAAATTCTCAGGAGAGAACACAAGCAATACTGGTGGAAGTGCTTAAGATGCATCCATACAACAAAATTGTTAAGACACATGACCTGTAGATTTCTACTTTTGTTGTAACTTTATGATAGATTGCAGCTAAAGTCTTGACTCAAGATTTCCATGTTTCACAAGCTTTAGAAAGTTGATTACTGACTTCATCTTCAAGGGTGTTGAGTCTGGACAGGATGTTACCTAAGTAGATAAATGTATCTACACCTTTCAATATTTTACCCATGGTATATATATATATGCTTGGCCTGATAATACATACTGTTTAATTAATAAAAATGGGGTGTCTATTTAAAAAATGTCCATAATAATAACAGTTGAAGTAATAAAAACGTCAGATCAAAAATAAATCCATTAATTCTTTAAAAATTGTTCTATTTATGTTTCGGATATAAAACTTAGCAGATATAGTTTTTTGAGAAAACAACTTAAGTGAAAGGGATGTGCATTCCTTAAAAAGGGAAAATAGAGCTTTGCTTACTGTGGTGATCTTCATGGATTAAAAATATGCTTATGTTAGTGTACAAAACAGAGCAGATATGGATGTTTTGAGAATTGGCAGAGAATGTGAGTTTTGTTTAACCAGAATTTTTACATGGCCAAATCAGTTAAGCATGTCAGATCTAATGACAGTTCCCCATAGTAGATGCAGGTTTGAATCCAACCAGAAGATGCATATTTTCTGACAAGATTTCTTGAATATTCAAGCTGGTAAATGTAATTAGATAAAAATACCATTTAATTAAATAAATGGAGCATTTACACAACTATGAGTATCCATCTAAAATAACATTTAAGCAAAACAAATTAAAGATATGTCAGATTCAATTCATTTCATAAAATATATATACATATATAACAAAACAAAACAAAACAATGAACACTATATTATTTTTTAAAAATATGTGTGTGTATATATATATATATATATATATATATATATATAATTATAATAAATTGCACATATAGTACTGGCATTAATAAAATGGTGCTCAACATAATACAACAAAGCTATTAAGTATATATTAATAAATATACATATTATCCCTCACCAATAGCACAACTCAGAGTTTCATGCATGACGCAATGCTCAGGCATTGAGTATAGATTGACCATTACATAATTTAAATTTTAAAAAATATATGGTTATCGCAAGTGGGATTACGTTTTTTTTTTAATTTTAAAATTTACATTTGGCATTTAAAATAAATGGGATATATGTAAAAGAGAAAAGAAATTATTTTAGAGTTGTGAATATTAATTTTTTACTTTTATATTAAGCATAAAAGGAAATTACTTTAAAAAAAAACAAACTGTAATTTACATTAAAAATTAATCTAGATCAACCTATTTAAGCAGATATTTATTTTTATGCCTACATGTAACCATCAATCCATTTCTTTTGTTTAATAACTGATGGTAGTGCTAATATTTAGTTTGTGATCTTTAAAAAATTTTATCAGTTCCTTTCTCAATTAGTCTATATTTTGTGAACTTGTTTTACAGAGGAGAATTACACTGTCATCTCTATAGAGTCCGATGTCCTTAATGTTGATATATATATATATATATTTTTTAGAATTGATTTTTTATTAACCCAACAGATTTTTAACACTTTAAACATTATTTTTAATGGATACTCATATTTGAGTAAGTGCTCTATTTATTTATTTTCAACTATCAGTTTGAGAAATCTTATTAAAAAAAATTTGCACTCTTCAGCAGGATATGAACCTGCATCCATCAAGGCAAAGAGAGCTACTGTTAAACCTGGCATGCTCTAACCAACTTAGCCACAAAGTGTAGTTGGTCAGGTGTGGCCAAATTTTGTGCCTTGAAGCAAAATTACTTTCGTCATAGTGTACAGTTTTGTATCTAAACATAAACAAAGAGAATTTTAGAATGGATTTTTTTTTTATTAATCTGACAGATTTTTATCACTTTAAACATTATTTTTAGTGGGTACTTGTATTTGAGTAGTCACTCAGTTTATTTATTAAACAGTATATTTCCAGTCAGTATCTGATTTCGTTTGAGATTGATAATACTTAAAACATTCAACTCACAATATCTTGTGTATTTCTGGTCCAATCTTAAAAATATTCATATGGCTGGAAAGAAAATAATATAATCTTTCTAAATATGCAATTTTTATGTGCTTTTATTCATTGAATTATTTTTTTACAACAAGTTAAAACAGTATTGCTTCAACCAAGCAAAAATGTGAAATTATTTTTTTCAAGACAAAATTTTACATGTTACTTGTTTCACAAAATCAAAGTGACCAATTTTTATCAATATTCTTGAAATTGTACACTCAATTAGAAGACAACTTAAACTACAACCAGGAAGATGTTCATTTCTTCTCTGATCCAAGGAAGCCATTTCCTTCAAAAATTATAAAGTAAGCAAAAAAAAAAAAAAGAAGAAAACGGCAGTTCTTTTCTGCTACGCCAGTCAACTATTATTGGGGTTTTGCAAATAAATTTCTTCTAAACAAGGAAAATCAATGAGTTATTTTTCCCCTAAATAAATTTATGTTGTTATCTAGCAAATACACATAAAATTAAATATTAAAAATACTTGAAAGTTTTTAATTTAATTTTTAGAATGTCTATATTTCCAAATCTGCGAGTATCACCTGTTCTTTTTTAGATACACATTTTTAAACTGAAATTAAAAACTATTTTAATCATTTTAATATAATCTTACTTAGCGTATTATTTGCCAGATAAAACCATAAAGTAAAGATATTTGTAAAAATAAAATGAATTAATTTTCCTTGTTTAGAAGAATTTTATAGACAGAACAGTAACAAACACACACCAAACATTAGTGGCTAAAAAAGAATAATTTTTACTTTGGGTTTAAAAAAATGACTTGCAGTTTTGAAAATATGCACATTTTAAAACTGAGTTTAAAACTTACTTTATTTTTTAATATCCAATTTTATGTGTATTCACTAGATAGAAGCATAATTGTATTTGTAGAAAACAGAGACTCACATATCTGGAAATATACACATCTTAAAAATGAAATTAAGAACTATTTTAATTATTCTTAATATCTAATTTAGGTGCATACCCTAGATAAAAAACAAATTTATTTATTAAAAAAAAAATTTTCATTCATTTTTCTTGTTTACAACAATTTTATTTCGTGATTGGTGTAATGGCTTACTAGAAAACCCTTACAAAAAATCCTTACCTTTTGCAATGAAGTACAAGGTGGATGCAGAAAGTTAAAGAGGGTATAGAAACTGTGACATTTTCAGATTGGGCTGCAACAGCATTACAATTACTAAAACCAGATAGCTCAGTCCATTTGTGTGGTGACTATAAAATTAAGCAAGTAAACTTTGACTGATAAAATATTTGAATTTTTGTCAGGTAGAAAAAATGTTTGTTAACTTAGATTTAAGTCAATCCTATCTGAAATATACTATAATCAGCATTACAATCAACTATCATTTGGGATTTCAAATGTGTCAGTGATATTCCAGCAAATAATGAAGAGTATTATGCATATAACTTACTGCTTGGAATGAAGTGAAACATATAGAAATATAAAGTTTTAGACCAAATACAAAAACCTGAATTATGGTTGAAGTTGAACAAGTGTAAATTTATGCAGTCAAAATAACTTACTTTGGACATAGGTTGTCTACAAACAGCTTAAAACCTATGCCTCAAAAAATGAAAGCTGTTTATCAATGACTCAATGACTAGAATTCAGACTGTGGTGAAGTTTCATCTGTTCTGATAGTTAATAGTCCTTATATCAACAAGATGTTTAAGAAATTTTTGAAGAGCCACATCAAATGTATTTGTGTCTCCATACCACATATCAATTAATGGTATAGCAGAAAAAGTTGTCCAATAGTTTAAAAATAATGTTTTCAATGGACAACATTGATAATCAATTAGCAAGATTCTTGTTATTATTTACATTATTTTAACTTGAACTATTGTACTCATCTTTGTCATTATCACAATATTTTAGCTGCTGTGCCCTCTGGCCTTTATCACATGCTTATCAATCTGGGTAACTTTCAGGGTATTTTGAACTGAATCCTTTATTTAATCTAGTACCATGAGTGTCTGAGTTGGGTGTCAGGAAGAGCATCCAGCCATGGAAACCATGTCTCAAATTATTATGACAAGTCTCAGTGTGTTGATAGGCAAATGTGGAGACATAAACTGAGATCCTCTATCAGGCAGGACCTACCTTGCTTTGTGAGAGATTAATCCTGGTCCTGCCTCAACAAAAAAAAAAAACATGGCTATGTTGATGATGGGTAGATTGTTCTTGTTCTGCTGACCATATTTAGGGATATTGCATCTAGTTTTTATTTAATACTGCTCTGCTATTGCTTGCCCTGTTTCCCTGAATCTGAGTCTGCATTACCTGGCCCAGGGATTGAACTCACAATTACTAAATCACCAAAATGATATTAGGCAAAATAAATTCTCAGTGGTTGCTGGACATAGTGAAAGATAAACTGGGTCCTATGGTCCTTATTGATGGCACAATTAGATGGACAATAATCCAAGTGTAAATAATGTAAATAATGATAACTCTTCATCCCAGATATTCAGACAGGTTCTTGTTAGTATATTGAAAGACTCCTCAGCTATTAGAAATGCTGATGAATCAGAAGTTACATACTCAGTTGTATTTTATCTTTTTCAATATCACTTCATCTCACTTCAATCCCAGTGAAGAAGAAACAATGATAGCAAAAGCAAAGTTATGATCAACATGCGCATCAGTAAGAATTCCAAGGAGATTATTTGTGATATTATACAAAAGAAAATCTCAGTAGCTGCTGGGTATAATAAAAGATAAACTGAACCCTGTAATCAATGCAATGGGGCTATAAGACAGTCGAACTGTCAAGCACCATGTAGATCATTTGAGATTCAGATCTTGTGTTGCTACCAATACCTACAAGGCCGGTGTATATCAGTCTGGCCACAGATTTATCTTTATTAAAAGGAAAAAAGAAACTGATGTACATGAGATTTGTTCTCTAGTAGAAGTGCCATTTTTTTCTTCAGCAGAAGAGGACCCCAAACCTCTGGAAGACAAAGAGATTGTCTATTTCCTGTTTTAAGATGATCCACATGTATGATAAAAATTCCAGAGAAACTAAGAAAGGACTGACTCTTGTGAAAAAAAAACAACAGACCTTATACATAGACAGTTACTATTCATCCTGAGTGGAAAATTTTGTAATTATTTTATTGTAAACAATTTGATATTGGCCTGCTGTGTTGAGGTCAGGGATCAAATCTAGGACAGAAGGCAGACAGAGCTATGCAAAGGATACCATGTAAGTTGAGTGACAGTTTTCAGCTAAATAAATAATCATTTATATTCTAGTAAGTCTTTTGTTATTATATGAAGTTACCATAAATATGTATGATAGCAAATATATATGCAAAATATTGAATCCATCCGAGTATGGTAGACTTATGTTTTTTTATTTCTTTTGTAACAGGCTCTTTTGCAACAAAAGTTGGCTTGTGATGCTTTACGAGATGAGAAAAATAAACTCATTAATGACTTTCAGCAGGTAAGTTATTTTTAAAAAAAATAGAGAACAAAAACATGAAACTGAAAAAAATATTCCTTCAATCAACCTTTATTTAATAATTTTTGCCAGTAAAAACTCATCTTGACAACTATAGTGAAATAAAATATTTATAATTTGAACTCAAAGATTTCTAACAATGTACAGAGATATATACACAATATTTAATATTGGGCCAGCTAGCAAAATGCTTTATGCATCAATATGTCCTACAATTAATCTTTTCTTATTTTTCCTCAATATAATCCCATTTTTTTTTGTTCTCTGATTTTATATTGCATCCATTCATATTTATGACTCATTAACAATTATAAAGACAGAATGCATCTTTTTTTATTCCACTAGCAGCTTTTTTTTTGTCAGGGTCTTGATACCATTTCTACTGATTGGATCCATCTATTGGATTGTATCATTCTACTTCACACAAGTGTTATTTTGAAGAAAAAATGAAATCAATTTATGAAACACCTAGTAAATAATAACTGACATTTGTATATATCCTTCCCAGTGACATATTATGAGTTTGCCACCCCAAGTCCTCACAAAAAATACATATTGCACAGTGACTCACACTTAAAGTTATATATATATATATATATATATATTAAATACACACCAAACAAACTTAAATTTTATCAGTAACAGTTAAAAAGCAAAAACAACATATAGGGAAAAAAGTGTAAAAATTTAGGACCATTTTTATTTCTAAAATGAAAATTACAACTTTTCACAAAGTAACTTGCTTTTTTATTGGCAAATTCTTCAATGGTATTAAAAATCATTTCATCTGTCAACTGTTGCTCTATAGACTGTATCGCAAGATTTCTCAACTGCAAGATGCTCATAGTAGATCTTAAGTAATTTTATTTAGTTTCAAAAAAATTCTATTGTGAGGAAAATCTGCGGTATTATTACTAATTTTGAATCAAGTTCCCAAGGTTATACTTTTGAATAAACTGCAAAAGTTCAAGAGTGCCTTCTTTCCATGTCTGTATTCCGTCTTTAATAGTAGCAACAGCAATAAAATGCTGAAGTCTTTTTCTCTCAACATGGAACTCCTCTTTATCAATGTTGTTGTGATCTATTTGACACTCATATTTATCATCTAAAAGATTCAACAGTGTAAGGAAGGTATATTTCTCAAGTTCATGAAGCTGTTGAAATCTCAAAATTATTTATTGGATTACTCTGTCCAGCATTCATACAAGGAATCCCAACACAAAATATTAGTAAAAAGTGTTTTTACTCAGCTTGTGTTATTCAAAATAACAAGAGAGATAAAAGGTGCTGCCCATGGAGAAGACTGAACCCTCTAGCTACTCCACAGATTCTTCCTATCTTTATATACAATTTTTCCTGTCAGAATCCATCATTTATAAATCTACTATTCACCCATGCATTGAATATTGCTGTCATATCTTGTCTGGAACTCCTGTAATATATCTAGAGACTTTCAACAAAATTCAAAGGAGGGCCTGTAATGTTATTGGTCCTAACCTGTCTTCACTGTGTCATATCTATAATCATGGCAGGTGTTCTAATGTACAAATTTAACTGCAGTACTAGATTGGCATCTTGGTCTCATTGTTTTACTGTTGAATTAGCTAGATGTAGCCATAAGTTCTATTCCAATAATTTATTTTCTTGCATTTCTCTCCTATGAAACTTTTTTCCAGTTTCTTGCTTACCTGCCACCTACAATCTTCAAAAATTTAAATTCAATGTCAATTGCAATCTTCTGTCTTTCTGAATTCTCTTTTTTTATGTCCTTTCTCTTCACTAAAATCTTTTTATTCTCTTCCACTCTCATTAAGCCTTTGCATTTTAGTGTCATTATTGCCTTGCATGGAATGAATTGATGGAATATATATATATATATATATATATATATATATATATATATATATATATATAGTGAACGAGATATTTGAGCAAATTTGTGGCTTTCACAACACAAAGAAAGAAAATCACTTGTAACGCGTCAGGAAAATAACTCACGAACGCCGTAGCCAAAACTGCCTGAATTTTAACGCAGAGTTTGACCAAAGGATGAAGACATGGACACCATTTCCAAAATGCTGTCCATGTCTTCGTCCTTTGGTCGAACTCTGCGTTAAAGTCGGGCTCGTTGATCTTCAAAGTAGCACAGGTGGGCGGATCAGAAAACTTGACTTCGCCTGCCTCTGTAATGCGTACGCCGCCCAGCTCCTTAATAATGTCCATCCCAAGGAGCAGATCGAAACCTAATAATGCGCTGTCCACGACCAACACACTGACTGTGCACTAGTATCACCACTGAATTCAGGGATCAGTTTTATATCGAACGGTCTTTCCGCCATCTTGCGAGAGACAAAGTAAATGCCGAAATAGCTTGAAGAGTAAGTGTTCTCAAAGCAAATTTGTGGCTTTCACAACACAAAGAAAGAAAATCACTTGTAACGCGTCAGGAAAATAACTCACGAACGCAGTAGCCAAAACTGCCTGAATTTTAACGCAGAGTTCGACCAAAGGACGAAGACATGGACAGCATTTTGGAAATGGTCGGAAAATAACCCACCAGAAAAGCTCCAGAATCGAGTGTCAGAATATTCGGTGCCCGAACGCGTCAAGGAAGAATACCAGCGCGAATTGCAGGTGTGGCTGGATAACGGATGGCTGACTCCGTATCCCGAGGAAGAGCTTGGTCCTCCAAGAGGTCTCATCCCATTGATGGCCGTGGTACAAAAGAACAAGGAAAAAAGTTCGTGTTTTGTGTGCGATCTGCCGGGGAGGGATTGCCAAAAAGTCGTCAGCAAAACTCTTATAGGAACTGAATGAACATGTAGACACATACACAGCTCATGCTGATGTGTGTGCACAAAAATTGAGAGAATGGCGAACGAAGGGATCCAATGTGTCTGTGATTGACCTTCGAAAGGCCTACTTGCAGGTACGCGTGCACCGGTCACTGTGGCCATTTCAGACGGTGATCCTTAATGGGACGAGGTACTGCTTAACCCGAATGGGATTCGAACTCAATGTGGCGCCAGCCATCATGAAAGCCATCGTGGATGCTGTGCTATCCCAGGATGAGACAATTAAATCAGCGGCGTCAGCCTACATTGGCGACATCTACATCAACGAAACCTTAGTACCCGCTTCACAGGTGAGAAAGCATCTTGCTGACTTTGGGCTCGAATGTAAAAACCCAGAACGACTGGAGGATGGTGCTCGGGTGCTTGGCTTGCAGGTCTGGGGGAGCACAACATGCTTTACTGGAAACGTGGAAGCGAGCTCCGGACATTCCCAAACACATGACCCAACACAGCGTGTTTACCGTTATGTGGAAAGCTGGTGGGACATTTTCCCGTGGGCGGGTGGATCCGCATTGCAACTGCATTTATTAAACGTGGGGTGACTGCTGTCACTTCCGGCTGGGATGACACAACAAATGATGCCCCTTAGACACATGATGGGAAGTCATTACTAGGGTGTGTCAAGACGACCAACTGCGGATGTGAATTTAACGTCTGGGTTGAGCTCCCTTGCAACAGGCGTGTCTCTTGAAGTAGGTGACACTGTCGTGGAAGATGCATGTTGATTTGCATCCTGAGAAGGATACGCAACATATCAACCTGTCAGAATTAGATTGTTATCAGGGGAGTTTACCCTTCAATGGAATGCAAAGGTATTGCATTTATTCACGGATTTCGCATGTGTATAAGTGGATATCAGACACTCTTACGGGGAAGGCTAGGATACATACAAAGGCTGCGGCGAGATGCTCATTGAAGGAGGCTAGACACACTAGGGGAAAGTTGGTAAGTGAATACCACTTATCTGTAGACATACAGCTGGTCAGATCACAGCAGAACAAGGCTGATACTTTAACAAGGGTACCCCAAAAATGGCTTGACGCTATTAAGAAAGAGGTAGAGCTGGTAGAACATGTCTGTGTAACATCAGCGAGCAACTATAACTCAGATTTACTAAAATCTGTGCATTGCCAAAGCGGACATCCCGGTGTAAAACGGACCTTATATTTCGTGAGGCAGATTTATCCCTCGGTATCCAAAGCTGCTGTCAGGGCAGTGGTCAGAGGATGCAAGGAGTGTCAGTCCATCGACCCAGCACCTGTGCAATGGCAAAAAGGACAAGTGAGTGTAAGCAAGGTGTGGCACCGTGTTGGAATGGACATCACCCATTATAACGGACATCATTATTTAACCCTGATTGATTGTGGCCCAACCGGGTTCACTATTTGGCGGCATCTGCGTCGACAGGATTCCGCAAGCGTCATTGACCACTTGGGGTCATTGTTCTTTGAACGTGGACCTCCAACGGAACTCCTCACTGACAACGACACTGCATTCCGCAGTGGACTATTCAAAGATTTTGTGGCTTCGTGGGGAGTACACCTCAGATTTCGCTGCGCATATGTCCCATCAGGGAATGGCATAATCGGCGATGTCGCCGGAGCATCAAAGAATCGCTGCTAGGAAGCAGTGTTCCATAATGGAGGTGGTGTATTGGTACAATGTTACTCCGAGAGACAATAATGTATCGCCCTCAACTGCGCCCAGCCAACATGATTTATCAGTACAAAGTCCGGTTACGAGGCATTGACGCAACGCGTTCAACTGAACGGATAAACGAGCGCGCCCGTATGACTTGGGCAATCGGCGTGTGGGTGAAATCTCCACATAGCCGATGTACAACCCGGTACGGGTGGGGCATGTCACTGGACTAAGTAACTCGCGTTCTGTGCTGGTTGATGGCATACCAAGACACATAAAGGACTTGCGTCACTATGTAGGTACAGATACGTCAACAAGTGACACTAGCAGTGAGTGCTCAGAAAGTGAACAAATAATTACCATCGGAGGTAGGGCTAGCACCTCTTCAGATGGTGAAGACTCTGTGCGTGAGGTTGTCAGACCAGAAGAATCCTCAGAAGAAGAAGCTTCAGAACATTCTTCAGATGATGAAGACTCTGCGCATGAGGTTGTCAGATCAGAAGAAACCTCAGAATATAACACACAATCTCCTCCAACAGTCGCCCGCTCGGAGAAGCTTAAGAATAAAGAGGCCCGCCCATGAGTGTCACTTATGTGACGGGGGGAGTGTAGTGAACGAGATAATCAAGTACCCGGAAAAAAAAGTTTCGTGTTTTAGGTGCGATCTGCGGGGAGGGATTGCCAAAAAGTCATCAGCAAAACTCTTATAGCGCAGACCAGTTCCACCTTTCGATCCATTCAACCACAGAGACATTGGATCCTTCGTTCGCCATTCTCTCAATTTTTGTGCACACACATCAGCATGAGCTGTGTATGTGTCTACATGTTCGTTCAGTTCCTATAAGAGTTTTGCTGACGACTTTTTGGCAATCGCTCCTCGGCAGATCGCACACAAAACACGAACTTTTTTCCGGGGTACTTGATTATCTCGTTCACTACAATATATATATATAATTGGTAGATTTTTTTTATTTGTTCACTATACATGACCAAAACTTTTCATGTGGAACCCTCAAATTTGATATGAATACTTATTGACCCCCAAAGGAAGATTTTGATGTAAAAAAAAAAAAAATACTGGTTCTTTATGAAGGAAAGAAATATCCAACTCTTTCTGGTTATGTGGATTTATCATTAACAGCCACAATTACCGTTTGTAGCTGTTTGGTGTAAGACTATGATTTCTCTATTATTAATGTCCAGACAAGAAAAATATTTGTGTCCTTTGAAAAAGCAATCTCATTGAACAATTTTTCCCTCAAATACTTTTTCTACTTTTTATCGTACTTTTTTATTGGAAACTTAGCAGGAACAAAATGAAACTATTTTATTTTTTTAGGCATTTAATGCAAACAAAAAATTCATTTATATCTATAACCAATGAACCTTGCTAACAAAGATTGTAAAAAAGCCATTTCTTAGTTATATCTTTCATTTCATTTATTTAGGCAGAAAGTCTTTCTTTGAGTATAAATCTGAGACTTAATTAAGATTATTCCCTTTTTATCAGATTGAATCATAAAGAATTTCCATTTTTGCTTATCAATTTTATTCTTCAAAAAATAAAGTACCATTACATTTTATTCAGTCATGTATTCACCATCACTTATCAAGCAGTTCTTCGATACCTTTTGAGTAAAATTCTCTAAAAGTTTTCACCAAACTCTTGGATCTGGATTTTTTAAAGAAAGTTTTCTTTATCAAAGTATTTTTCAGCAATCAAAAAAGGTAATAATCAGTTAATGCAAAGTCAGGTGAATATGGTGGGTAAGGTTGAACAGACCAAGAGAGTTCCAAAATTTTTTCCTGTATTCTTGTATGCAGCCTTACATTTTCATGGAAAAGAACAACATTTAATCCACTGTGTACACTGACACTACTGTGCAAAAAAATAAGATATGTTAGTTTAATTTAAATTTATTCTTAATATGATTAGTAGTTAGGATGATATATTTGTTATAACAATGTGTTCCCCAAAACGGAAATTACTTATGACTTAACCTAATAATACCACAGACATGGAAAAGTTTGCTCACCTTTATGGCAACCATTTAAAACAGATATAGATATTTTTCCTTTTTTCAGGAGCTGAAAATGTTTGATGACCGTTATGTGAAGGATTTGAAGAAACAGGCAGATGACATTGATTTATTAGTAGAGAGAATGGAAGAACAACTGAAAACACAGAACAAATCACTGAGAGATGAGCTTGATCTGATTGAGGTAAAAACACTCACAGAGATTTTCACAAAAGTTTTTAACTGAAGTTTCTAAATTTGTGATGTCTTTTAAAGTGACATGTCATCTATGTTGGTTGTTCATTATGAAATGAGTTTTCTTTCATCTTTTGAAAAATACAATGACAAGATTCCTGTGATAAAATAATAGATTTCATTAATGTAGTTTCTGTTGGAGAAAGTGAAATAAAAAAGAAAAGACTCTGTAAGGATCAAAAGAAAATGCACAGAGTTTTAATATATACAAAATAAATTTTCATATAATACAATATATATACAAAAGGAGAGACTGATAAGTTAGCCTAGAGGTTCAACACTTTAAATGTAAAAGAGATGTTGAATGTTGGTTGGGTGTATGGATAGCACTGAATGTTGACTTGATTCTTGTGTGGGTTTGATGTGAGGACACAGGGTATGGTCAGTGCATGTTGGTTGATCAAGGTCATGATGGTAGGCCATTTCATTGATTGATAGGCCTGTTCTGTGTGATGGCAGTAGCTTGTCAAGGTGTTTGCAAATGTTAAGAGTCAGGAGAAGTCACAAATCTGACATGCTGATCCATAGGATGCGAGCTTTAGGAGTCGGAAGAAGTCTCGAATCTGACATTGCCGATGTGTAGGATGTGAGCATTAAGAGTCAAAGTTGAGATGTTGTCCTGTCAGTATTTGTTGAGGTGACATGGTGTCAAAATTGAGATATTATCATGTTGGTATTTGCCAAAGTGATAGTGTCATCGATGATGGAGGCTTGTAGCTGGGTGGTGTCAAAGTTGGATAGTCAGTCACTTGTGGCTGGATATTGATGAGGTTAAGCTGGATAGTCGAGGTTGTTAGTCAAGCCTGAGAGTGTTAACGGTCATTGAGAGGTGGTGGTGACGGTCACAGTGGTGGCAGTAGCAGCAGCAGCGGCTCCCTGCATGACATCTGGTGGGCCAGGTCACAACTGCTAATGTTGTCCTCAGAGACCTGCTTTTAATTGGGTCTCATAGTCCCCAGGGACATCTCTTTTTCATGTTGGGAATGATCGTGATTGGCCACTGTCGGAGCTCACTTCATAGACCAGACATGATGCATAGAGCCTAATGTGCAAAAAACAACTTTTGTTATTTCGTTTTCTGCCTTCATGGTGTTCACATCTAGCCAGCATGCAGATTGAATCAAAAAGAGATCTAATTGCGACAGAGTCTAACACTTTCAAGGCAAATTCAAACATAGGCTAAATTTTATGGCAGATAAAGACAATTATTCCTAAAAACCTGTGGCGGACATGAGACAGAACCTGGGACAAGCACAACTGGTCGCGACTTGCCTTGTCCCCGCCAAAAAAGAGCCCGTATTTGCTTAGCATGTAAAGCTACTGCAGTTGAAATGAGGGAAAAAAAGCACTTACCGCTCTGACGTAATCCATCCTCGGCCAGATAATGTAAAAAAGAATGAGGGGGGACTGGCATCGCATTTTTATCCAATAACGATGCAATGCATTATGGGACATGGACACAATGCATTATGGGACATGGACGCAATGAATTATGGGATCACAGGAAGACGCAAGGGATTATGGGTACATGAACAACTATAAAAACAACTACTTTTTTCCAAGTCGGCGAGTTCTTCGAGGGACGTTCACGGTTGACGGCTAGAACGGGCAGTTAGTGTGATTTGGAGACAGAACTCAGGAAGGAACGACTCAAGTTTGAAATACCAGTTGGGAGAGCTTGAATTTACTCGCTGGTTACTGTTTTCTTCATTCGCCTCAAAACCCTATTCATAGTGTAGGTCAAAATAAATGAACAAAGGAATTAATATGTTAATATTATATATATGTTGCATGTTAACTTTACATCAGTTTATCACCATTTGTTGTGGCCACTACCTCTGGTTCAGCTAAAATCAATAGCAACCAAAAATTTTCACAAGTAAATGACAGACAAACATTTTTGTTATAAATTAAAAACAATAGAGAGACTTTTGAAAATGGGACTGATTGTCTAAGGGAGGTAATCCCAGTTTTGTAATTATTTATGCTTATTTTATTTTATTAATTTTATTGTTGTATTGGTTCCTACAAGTGAAAAATCTTGAAAATTCATTTCATCAGTGAGGTATATCTTTGGATATAAGGATTATGATTTTCTTTTTGAATGGCTCTGCTAAAATTATTCCTCTTTTAAATGAACTACCTCTAGAAAGTTAATTTTAAATAACTAAAATTTGATAAAGCAAAGAAAAATGGATTAACTAAAAATAATTAAAAATTTTTAAATTAACTATCTCTTTGCAGAGAGCTTTTCTTTCAGAACGAGAAGAAACACTAGAATTACACAAGAAAAAATGGGAGGAGAAATTGGATTATCGCCGTATGAAAGAGCAAGAGTATCTTGAGGCTCGTCAAAAACGGGTGAATGATTTTGAGGAACAAATACATCAAGTACGGCTACAGGATGCTGAAGAATATCAACAGGTTAAAATTAAGCTGGAGACTGAAGTGCAGGTAACATTTTTATTTTTTTGTCAATTCTGTTCTGTACCCACTATCTTTCTTTCACATTAAATTAGAGATATCTTCTAACATTTACAGTTGTAGGGAGTAATCTGGTAAAGAACACAAGTCATTTAACTAGTCACACTAGGTTGGGCATTATATTTGTCTAAAAACCTAAAGTAAAGATTCATCCAATATCTGATATTTTTAAATCCTCAAGATCTATATAGTGTAAAGGATTATTATGTAATCTTACTTATTGTCAATATTTTATACACAGTAAATCTCAAAAAATAGATTAGAATTATGTTTTGGAAGTTTATGATGTATTTTACTTACAAAACTCAAATAACAAATTAGTATTAAATACTAAAAATGTAACTTAAAAATATTATTTAACAAAATAAACTTTTTTAAAATGTGCTATAGTTGGAAAAAAGTTTTAATAATATAAAAGAAATATAAAACAAATTATCAAGAGTTAAATTGAAACTGATTAGGAAAACAAGTTTAGATAACCAGAGTTTGATAACCAAAGATCTCACAAAATATTTATTTATTTATAATTGTATAATATCCAACCAAAAATGCACTTCAAAATTCTTCAAGCAAAATTTATACCTCTATCTTTACAATTTTCCTTACAGCAAAGAATAAGGTCCAAATGTGACTTTTCTTGCTAAGACTATTATTTCATTAACTTAGCACACATCCAAGTCTCCTCACTCATTGCCTTTATAAATAACTATTGAGTGAAAATGTAATCAAATAAATTATTTAAAATTATTCCAGCTAAGTAAGTTTTATGTCAAAAGAAAAAAAAATGATGTACTAATTTTGTGTATATATCTTTCTTTAATGAGGTTTATTTTGATTTAACAAAACATGAAAACTTTTATAAATGTATTATTGTATAATTCAGCAACTTTATTTCAAATAGATAAATGAGGTAGAAAAGTATTATTGGGAATCACAAAAAATAGGCTTATGTGTTTGGTAGAACTCAAATTTGTCCCACTTTTCTCACAACCACATATGACCATAGAGAAAATGAAATAAAATTGATAAATAAAATAATAATAATGAATAATAGAAAAAGAAATACATTTTCCCATGATGCTAAGGCTAAATGAACCTAAAATGATTACCCCACTTGGTTTAAAAAAATTTTGTCAAGTGACATTGTTGAAGCATATAAAAAAGGCAAATATTTCCTGCCTCATTTTCTTTCCCCCCTTTACTCCAAAATGTGAACTATGTGGTAGTTACATTCTCACTGGGGAATGTTAGTTTCCCCAGTTCACTGTCAACTGAACTCTCTTCCCACTTTCCAATGCATGACACTCACATGTTTATTTCAAAACCTCAACCTATGAAGTAAGTCAAGCTTTCTCTTTGGTTGTTCCAACTCAGCACTAGGATGACTTAAGTGTGACCAATACTTATACTGACTTACCCTAACATCTAGATCAAAAGAAAAAAAAAGAAAACAAATATCCCATAACCATATTCAAATCTCCCAGTGATAAAGTAAGTATGAATACAATACCTACCCTAACTTCCGGACCAAAGGAAAATGTACATACCAAAGATACATTGAAATCTTTGTTCCACTACAATCACCATAAAAAGAATAAATGCCCATAGTAGAAATTCAAGTTTTTGTATGCTTCTTCTTTATTGCTACATACAAACATACACCTTCACCTAAAATACACAACAACCTGTTAAATTCCACAAAGACAACAATAGAGACTTCCTCTTCTCATCCATTAGAAATCACCTTTCAAGCTCCAAATCCACTGAATGCATCAATCTAATAGAATAATTGTATTGATCTACAGAAGGACCCTAATATGGAAAACATTTCAGACCTCATCATGAGTAGAACAAGGAAGAAGTGAGAGTCTCAGTCTATTTAATCTCTTCCTAGACTATGCTCAGCACATTTACAAACACAGATGTGATGAGATGAGCACTGACCATTTAAACATTCCATACTGCATCACAAATGAGTCTACCAATAGAAGACAATGATCCTGCTTTCCCTCGAGAGGCCAATGTACTGTGATCTTGAATTGGAATGAAAGCATCCACCCTGAATCCATTATAAAAATACAAGATGTGGAATTAGTAAATACTAAACACTTCAGATACTTTGGAATATAGATCAGCTATAACAAAATAAGTATAGGAGAAAAAGAATTTGAAAATAAAATAGGCTGTGCCAGAGGTAATGTCACCCAAAACTGCTAATTGTTACAAAGCCAAAACATCAACCTGAAATCTCAAATCATTTCTTAAATAGCCATGTCAGACATTTATATGGATGCAAACCTGTTCATATATATGGTACCAAACCTGTTAAAAATATCTAAATTGTCAGCTGTATATAAGCTTCCTAAGAGGGGTTTGTAAAAAATGCCAGATGGTCTTGGCAAGATCATTCTTCTTTGAACATTGTGAACTGGCATTACAGATTCATAAACAAAGAATTGTACCAAATAACAGAAATCATGTCACTTGAAGACTACCAAGAGCAGCAACAACTAAAATGGATAGCACATGTAATGCAAAGAGAAATTGATGACATAATCAAGATGTTAACATTCCACACCATTTCAAATAGAAGGTTCAGAAGGAAACCCTTATCAATACTGGAAAGAGTGAAAAAGTTATTGAATCTGTTTTTCTAAAAAGTGTTTTAAGAGAAAATTGATATAAATTTCAACTGAAAACAGTACTGGCTGCTCGGTCAATGAATGCCAAAATGTTTTTCTTGTAGAAAAGGGCTGAAGTCATAAAGACTATAAATAGCTGCAGGCAGTTGAGTGCATACTACTTCCTGTGAGTCAATAACACTACACTACAATGGCATCACCACTATCTAAAGAACGGAATGAACAATTATCACTGGATAATTATGAATACGTATAAGTGTGGTTTTGGATACTAGCTAAAGCTAGAACAAAAAAAGCTGAAGGATTTGAAATCAGTTGGAGGGAGAAAACCAAATAACTGATCTCTTCTTGGCAACTCTTTGGTTGTGAAGCCATTATAAAATTATCATCAATTTCACAGTTGGAGGAAATGACATTTGACAATATAAGTCAATTAATAAGTGAAAAACATAGCACCCAAGAAAAAAAAACTAGTGAATGCAAAAGAGAGCTAAATTCATGAATATTTTTCAAAAAGTGAATGAACCATTTATTGAATATGTTCTTCATCTCATCTAAAACAGGCTACTAAATATTGTGAATTGGAAAACCAGTCACTTGAAGAGGATTTAATCCAAATGAAATTGGTAAATGGCCTTCAAAATGAAGAATATTGGCAAATGACTCTAATGCATTTACAACTGGGAAAGATATCACTAGAACAGTGTGTTAAAATTTGTTCAGCAACAAGAATTAATTTGAATATTTTATAGAACAAAAGTTACAGATCTCATAAAGGAAATGGACACATACATGATAAAGAAAAAAAGATAGAATAATGTGTACTTTTTGTGGTTGTCAACATCAAAGAGAAAATCAAAAATGTCTGGCATATAAAAAAAAGATGTGAAAAGTGTTTCAAAATGAATCATTTTAAACGTATGTGTAAATCTAAAAGAAAAATGTAAAGACGATCCAATAAATGAAGAGGAAATAAATGTGGATGTCTTTTCATTGAAAAAAAAATGAAAAGTTGTTATTAAAAATTCAAATCAATAATGTTTTATTGGACATGCAACTAGATACAGAAAGTGACATAGTTTTCCTAATTTCTTCCTGAAATTAGGAAAACCAAGATTAAAGAAAAGCCTTGTCCAATTGAATTAGTTTGATGGATCTGTGATAAAAATATTAGGCTATTTTGAAGCCTATGTGGAACTAAAAAAATAAGTTTGACATATTACCAATTATTGTGACAAACTGTGAAAAGAATCATGGTCTAATAGGAAATTATGTATTGAACATAAATTCAACAAAATTAGTAAACAAAGTTGTTAAAAAACTATGAAGCAAAGTTAAGACTAAAGGAAAATGTCTCCCCCTCATATTTTGAAGCAAAAAAGTGCCAGTCCATCAACTACCAATAGTTGTGGAAAAACTAAAAATATTACTGGAACAAGATCTATTTGAATGAGTTCTGCCACGACGAATCAAATGCTCCCCCACTCCTATTAGTAACTTTAAGAAAGAAGAATGGGGATATACATATTATGGTGAGTACAAAGTAAGTGTAAACCACAAAATATATGCAGACTCATATCCTACCCCCAATGTAGCATGGGCATTGAACTCCCTTTTGGGTATGAAAACATTCTCTAAAATCAGTCTAAAGTCAACATACCATCAAATACCTTTTGACAAAGACTTTAAAGCAGTTACAATAAACATGCCAATAGGCTTATGGAAAAGAATGCCATATGGAATTAAAACTGAAAGTGCGATTTTGCAAAGAGCTATAGAGCAAGTTATTGGTAGTGATAAAAAAAAAAGGATTTTGTGTTGGTGCTGTTAACGACGAAGAATTAAAATGGAAACTTCCAGTATGGTTTTTTGAAATTAAAAAATGCTGGATTAACAATTAACAAAAAAAAATGTTTGCAAAGCTAAAAAATATTTTTGGATATCCCATATTCAATACCAGACTAATCATTAATTGACAAAATATTAAAAGTTAAAGTACCTAAGAACAAAAAAAGAATTGGAGT